TTAAAAAAAGTAAACGCAAAGACAGGGGCTTTAATGGTCATTTAAAATTAGCATATTTTTTAGTTTAGAAAAATTGAAGAACATTGTTTGAATTGAAACTTAAATTAAAAGCTATCCTGATGCTTTTTTATATTATTTTATTACCGTCGTTGAACAGCCAACCCAATTTTTTGTGTTTACGATTACTAATGTTCAACTCCGTTGCCTTGTAATTTTGAACCCAATCCAGTAGACAAGGAAACTCCTGGTTCAAGTATTGAGAGATATTCACCTTCGTGGAGGACTTTGATGAAACTAACCCGCATTTGCGTTACAAAGAGAGGAAAACCACGAAACCTCCCATGGTTAGCATGACGGCAAGGGGACTCTAACCCATGATCTATCTGCCATTGAAGATAGTTTACATCAGACTGTGGTCGGTGCGGGTGCGGAATTCGTATCGACCAGCCATCGTTGGGATTCGAATCCGGCTCACCGCATTGGAAAGCGAACGCTCTATCCTCTGAGCCACCATGGTTCCTATTCTGATACTTGTTATTATCGAAGTATAAAATACACTCTATAAAAAAAAAATCGAAGCACCAAGAAGCAATCCTCCGATTGCTTCTTGGTACCAGATTACAGTGGTGCATGGCTCGATCAGGTTGGAATGATGCCGACTGGGGACGTATAGTCTTTAGCGACGAATCCTGCCTCCAACTGGGTCCTGACGATCATCGAAGGCGTGTTTGGAGACGCACAGGGCAGAGGGCGGATCCTGCCTTCACTATTGCACGCCACACCGACCCTCAACAAGGCATTATGGTCTGGGGTGCCATTTCCTTTGACAGCCGGACCCCTTTGGTCGTCATTAGAGGTACACTTACTGCACAGCGGTACGTCGATGACATCCTAAGACCTGTTTTGCTACCGTTCCTTTTGCAGCGCCCTGGGCTCGTTTTTCAGCAGGACAATGCCAGACCACATACGGCACGTGTTGCTATGAACTGTCTGCAAGCTTGTCAAACTCTTCCTTGGCTTGCCAGATCACCAAATCTCTCTCCCATCGAGCATGTCTGGGATATGATGGGAAGGTGTTTGCATCTGGCACGGAATGTTGATGACCTCGTTCGACAATTGAATCGAATTTGGCAGGAAATACCGCAAGAGACCATTCAAGAGCTTTATCGGTCTATGCTACGCCGTGTGGCAGCTTGCATCCAGGCTAGAGGCGGGTCAACACCTTATTGAACTTGTTACTGTAACTCTGCAATAAATTATTCAATTGTTCTGAAATTTTAATCATATTCTGTACATTGCCTTCCTATCCACCTATTTTCGTTTCAATCGGACAACTCCTTCTTGGTGCAACGATTTTTTTGTTATACAGTGCACTTCAGCCACAGCCAATTGTCTGTACAAGGGTTTCACAACTCAGGGGTCAAGGCATATAGCTCGCCTCCCAATGAGGTCACCCAGGTTCGAATCCCACCTGGGGCTGGTTGATACGAATTTCGCTCCAGGCACGAAACAACCACAGTGCTAACGTAAAATATGAGAGTTGGCATATGGATCATGGGATAAAATCTCCTTGTCACCGGGCTAACCGGGGGAGGTTTTCGTGGTTTTCCTCTGCATGTGCCGACTAGCTCCATCAAAAAGTCCTCCGCTAATTTGCTCCGATGCTTGATCCTGGAGTTCATTTGTCTTCTGGGTTGAGTTTAAAATTACAAAGCTACAGAGTTGAACATTTATCATAAATTTAGAATTGGATCTACTGTTCAACTCCTATTATAAAATAAAATAAGAAAAACCCTCCCCAGACATATAAGTAAGTTTCAATTATTTAATTTCCTTTTGTCTTCGCAATCTATAAATCGATTTTGAAGAATTATGAAAAGGTTTTATTTTCTTACATTATTTGAGAGGTTGTGCATTATAATTTGAGAGTGTGTGTAAAGTACTGAGATCATTTTTCGCAAAATTTTTTAAAATGATGCAAAATGGGGTGACAAACTTGCATCAATTTAAAAAATGAATTGCAAAATTTCAAGTCTCAAATAAAATTCATTTTTTATCTTCATGCTGAAAGTATTTTGATTGTATACATTGAGTTTAATTTAATATCGTTATTTATTTCGATAATGAATAAAAAGAGTGTTTTGGTTTTAGTGTTGTCTAGTGTGCGAATTTGTACTAAAACGAAATGTATCAATAAAAATTTTATAACAAATTTACACGAGTTTGACTTTTTTTGGATCTACAATCCAAAACAAAATCACGATATCAAATCAATTATAGGAGGAAAGTTCTTTATTTTGTAATGTTTGTTTTTGTACTAATCATATAATAAAAAGAGTATAGATTTTTTAATGAAAATAAACAACATTAATACATATATATTTAATCTCAATTTTATTGTTTATTCATTGTCAGGGTCACGTGATGTAATAACACGCATTTTCTGATGTTGCGAGCTAAAAGCTTGATATTATAGATATGATCATTTTTTTTGTTTTGGTTTTTTTTGAACAATGGATGGAAAAAGAATAATAAAATGGTGAATTAGTTTTTGTAGAATTTTGCGTTATTTCTTTTGTAAAAGGTTACGACTGACATTCATTAAAAATGTTTTATTCTATCCAATGAAATGACGATATATTTCTGTATTTTAAAGCTGAATGTTGGTCAATTTAGAATGCAAATCGTTTCTGTAAAAATACTTCTGAATATCTGAATCATTTGCACGTATTTGATTACTACTCATATTTCGAAACTTCTGATTTTAAAACAATTAAATACTTAACATATTTTTATAATAAAACCCTTAACTTTTAAATATTATTTCAGTTTAAAGGAAGTTTCAAGTTGTTTCAGCAAAATAAGGACAACTAAATATTACATTTTATAGTTATTTATGAAGAAAAACATTTTTACATAATTTTTACTATAGGAAAGAAAAAGTGGAGGAAACTTTTAGCTAAAACACACAAAAGTGAGTAAAATATATTGATAAAAACAGATAGTTTTTTTTTTAATAATGATATACTAAAAGCTACTTCATCAAATACTTATTTTGATCGAAATAAAAAGAAAATGCTCGCTTCTCAATATATAGACGTTTTTCTTTACTCTTTTCAATAAAAACAGAAACTGAAATTTGAAGTTAATATTTAAACTTTATATCTTAAATTGAGATCCTGATTTGACTTCAGGTCATTTTTATCAATGTTTTGGGGACTAAACTTTTATTGGATGTCAAATAAGTCTTGTTTATTAGAAAGGGAAATGACAAGTTTTTTTTTGTCACAAAACTTACATTATTTAGCTTATATGATACATATTGCAGTTTAGAAGTAATAGTTTATTTTAGAGATAAATACATACGTGTTTTGAAGAATATAAAAAATTAATTTTAGAGTAATTAAAATGTATAGTTTAACAGTGTATTGGTGTTTAGAATTACCTGTAATTATTGTAAAAAATAAAGGCATGTATTTATAAGGGTCAAAGGTGTGTTATAATTTGTAATTTTTACTTTTTCATGCTAAAAATTATGCCAAAACTGCAATATACAAACAGTGGTATTGGTTTATTCACTATTGATATGTTTACTTAATTAAAACCTTTATTCATTTTAAAAATATGCAAAAAGAAAATAATAATAATATGTTTTAAGCGCTCAAAACTAGGCACCCATTTTCAAGACTTGCCAGACGTGAACGAGAATAAATAAAAATGATTTGAAATAGAAAACGTAAAGCTGCCAACGAAAAAGAAAGATGTGAAGCAAAACAAGAACCTCAGGAGCCGACATATTAAAACGAAGAACAAACACAGAGCAAAAAACTTCCCTTTACCAAGTGGGGTAAGCGCATTTCCATACTCTATGGAGAGGTAATGAAGAACTATCGGAATAATAGGCAAAAATCATTCCCACCACAGTCACATCAGCTAATTTTTATGTCCCGGAATGTTGTTTTATTCATGAGAATGCTTATTTCCTTAATAACATTTGTTCTTCACTACCTCTCCATAGCGCGTGGAAATGCATTTTACCTCATTTTTTCCCCTTTCGGCAACTGTAGGTTTTTTTGTTCTATTTTTCAACTTTTTTCTGCCTTTCGGTTCCTCTGGTTTTTCCAGTTTTGCTTCTCACCTTTATTTTGGCACCAATTTTTGAGAGCTTGAAGCATGTCGACTGTTATTTATCATTTGAATCAAGGAATATCTTACCCTCTTCAGTTTCCTGGGATAAAATCTTACCGCTTCAGTTTCTTTATTTAATGTTTTGAGACGTTTGTTAAATATTATTTCACATATCTCTATATATCAGAAAAGATTATTGTCTCACTTTTTTGTGCATTTATTTTGACTTGCATTATGCATTATAACTTTGTTAATTTATTTTCTTATTTTTTCCCTTCTTATTTCATATTAAGTATTCACCAAAAATATTTATTTATCATCCCCTTTAATATTATACTCTTTCACATTTTAATTACTATGCAAAGTAAATGCTTAAAATTACAAGTGTTGTTCGTTCATTACACTAAAAGCTGAACTTTTATGCAACATTTTATAATAAAAATATTTAGTTACCAATTTAGAATTAGTAAACGGGGAAAATTTTTATTCACTTCTCAATGAGTTTCATTTATTTTTTAAAATGCACATTTTAAAACCATTTTATAAATTAGTTTAATAAGTTACGGTATAAATGACTGACACCTTGAGAACTGGTACTTTTAAGCGTAATTCATTTTTTACTGTTTAAAAGAAACAAACAACTACTTTTACAGGGGAATCTCGTATTAAATTTGAGCTATAAGCTATAAGCATCGTCCTTCAATTGAATAAAAAAAACCTACGCAAAGTAATATAATAGCTTATACTATTCCAATGGTAAAAATGCAATTTAAAGATTTAAAATAACTAAAAATATTTAAATGGTTAGAATGATCGAGCGTGTTAAAATGAAGCATTCGATCGAAAAGTACTCAGACATTAATTTCAATATCTGTAATCAAAAGTATTTATTTCAAGTTAGAGAAATACACGTTTTCATAATAATGAAATATTTATTTACTGCAAAAACATACAAAACAGATCACAGTACACAAAAAATATGAAACAGAAAACATTTAAGTAAAGATGATTGAACACATTTACGAAAAACATATGATTAAGTTACTGATCTAGTTCAGCCTGGCACATATCAAACATACATATTCAGAGATTATAACAATTGTATTCATTATCATAAAATTATGGCACCAACATGTTAAGAATTGCTAAAATTGTCAAAAATTTTCACTTTTAAAGGATTTATTAAAGAAAATTCATTTAATATTGTTTTCTTTCAGTTCGAACCAATTGCGTTCCAGACTAGAAGGGTGAATAATTAAAATAGTTTAATTCATTTAGAAAAGTGAAATTTCTATGCAGCCAAATTTTGCCTATTCTTGAACAAAGATTAGCGAACAAAATTGATATTTGTTCGCTAATCTTTGAACGAATTGAAAAAAGTGCGAATGCTAGTTCATATCACGTTTTATAGTTTTTAATATCTTTTAATTTTCTTCCATCACGCTAAAAATGCTTTTAAGTGAAGTTAAAATTTTGATTAAAATTTTTTTTGTGTAAAATCTTTACTCATTAAATCATAAATTAAATTATAATGAGCGTATGGAAGATAGAAGTGCAAGAATTGGAAAACCACCATTTTTTGAGCTTTAATGTCTAAAAAAAGCAGTCACTGTCTTTTTTCTTGTCAGAGTTATCAGTTGAATTATGCAATTGCCAATATTATTTATTTTATTCATTTTTTAGAAAGAGAGGATAAAATAGAAAAAAAATGCATTGTTTCCAGTATTATAAAACAATAAAAGTTGACATAATATTCTATTCTTACATACATAAATATATCATAAAAAATTGAAATACATAAGTCTTCAGTTGCTTCTGATTTACCAAGCATCAAATATCTTAAGTGTACTTTTTATTATCGAATGAAGCTACGTCTTTAGTTGTGGTGAAATTTTAAATTTTATATGAGACCAGGATTAGTGAAAAAGATAGTTCTATAGCTGAAGTTCTTTTTGAATAAAGTAGAAGGCTTTCCATAAAATTTATATTTCAGATTGGAAACAAAACAAAAAAAGAGCAAAAAAATTTCTATATGCAATTAAATCAAAAAGGAATTGGTTAACGAATCTCAATTTTGAGATTAGCATCATCCTGTTAGTTTATTCAAATGACCATTTTTGGAGAAATACTTTTGCAGTCGACAGATATTTATAATTCGATTGCTAGGAATGCTGCCAGCATGCTAAAACAATCCAATTTTAAATATCCTTCAATCTGATATATATAGAAACATGTATATACATTTATATACAATATACTCTTTAACCAAAATATTCCTCTTCGTTTGACTTAGAAGTCAATTATATTTCTTTTCGCAATGATTATTTTAAAACAGAGATAAAATAAAAGGAATAAGAAATTTTCCCCCACAAATTCTTGTCACAGTTAGAATTAAAGATTTCTCTACAACATTGAGGGAGAATGAGAACCTGGTTGGAGAAATATATGTTGAACTAATTGCTGTTTCAATTAGCTTTCTCTTAACATTTAAATGTTCCTAAAAGTTCTGCAATTCTGCTTAGTTAAAACAAATTATAAAAACTACATTTTCATTTCAAATGACCAAACTGAGAAAATAAATTTAGCTCTACTACTTTATAGGATTTGTTGACTGGACTAGAGTATCATGAATGTATGTATCCCCATCTTTATCGCCCGAATATTTTGTAGAAACGATATAGCAAGATGATAATTCGATTCCGTTGTTTCGCTGCTTAAGGACAATCCTAACTCGCCTTTGAAATTTATCTAGATATCTTTCAAATTTAAAAACTTTAAAGTTGTTCGGAGAATTCTCAAAATCTAGGAATTCTTGAGTGCCTTTAATGTCAAACAAAAGTTGCCTAATTAAGTCATAATAGTCATTAACAGACATTTCATAATTCGGAGAACGTGCAAAAGGAGTTTTTTTATGCGCAAAAAAATGATAAATGGAAAAAAATATGCTTTGGAAGTCAGGATAAATTTGATTATTTTGATTTATACTTTCAATATCTTTTGCTATCTTCATAAATTCTTCATAAATTTTTTCACAGGTATCCTCGGAGAACAGATTATTAATAGTGAGTTCAGGAAAATTAATCTTTTCACATCTTATGAATTCATTTATAAATTTCATCAGGTTTACAAAGTCATAAAATGTAAGTCGAGCCATTAATAATGATACGTTTCTAGAAATTATCTCTACAGCAAATTTTGTTATATAATAAATATCTGTTTTGAAACATTTGCAATTCTTTGTTAGATATTTTTCATCATTACCATTACTTGATAGATTTGAAAATAATGTTCTAATTATAATCTTTGCGGAATTGGATATAGTGACATTTTGAAAAACACGTTCCAATGTAATAATGAATGGTGAGTTGTTAATGTTCATTTTTAAAGCAATTAATAGCTATTTAGACCACCACGAATGAGAATGAGGCATTCGAGATGCACCAGCACTTTCATAATCACTCTCACAATCACTTGAATCTGATATATCTCTATAGTCTTCGATTATATCATCAAGTATTTCAATACTCTCTTTCACGTTGGCTTTCTCTAACTCTATCAATAAAATTGTGTCTCCCACGGGAAATTGAGCATAGTCTTCTACTAGGAACTGTAAGGCTGACCTTCTTTGAAGTATGTAGCAGTCTAACCTCGTTCGGTACAAGCTGGAAATGGTTTCAATGTAGGTCTTGATCGGTTGAAGGCAGTGGACCATCGATTCTGCAATTTCTCTTTTCTCTTCCAATGTGAAGTCTTTGCACTTTTTGCCTATTTCGAAGATTGTGTCAAGAACTAACTCTGCCTTAGCATCGTCTGAAGGAAACTTAGTAATATTACTATATTCTTCAATCAGCTGTTTCAATGGAACTAATAAATGTGAGACATTTTCAGGCTGGCATTTTTTAGATTGTAAATATTCATATATTTGATTCCATTGTTCAATTTTTAAGAAATGTACAAAGTCGAAAATGCTTTGTTGGTTTATGAAGTTTTCGTCTAGATCAGGCAAACCTTTTGTAACATAACCGTTGGTGCATTTTAAGAGGTTTATACGATTATATAAATCTCTGAAGACCTTCTTGTAGTAAACGTCTTTTTGTACAATTTCCAAACTTTTCAATAAATCTGTTTGGGTTTCCATATTAGAGAAGATATAGATCTGTAAGAAAAATAAAACACAATTAAAATTTTAAAGTGATATAGAGTGCGGATAAAACGTTAATTATTTATTACATGGAAGCAATCTTTATTTGGTTAAAAAAAAGGTATTAATAAAATTTTTACCAGCTTTTTTTTGAAATTCTTCAGAAATAGTAGGATTTATCTCATTTTATAAAGATAGTGATTAAAAATTTCGAAAACAGTGCCTATTTAGCTCACTTTATCAAGATAGTGATTAAAAGTTTCAAAAATAGTGCCGATTTTACTTATATAAAATGGCATTGGATACAGTAAATAATAAAAAAGTAATCTTGTTCCTTTTTGAAAGAACAAACAAAGGGGACTGACATTATTATTTTTTGTAAAAATTATTCCATTAAAAAAAATATGTCTACTTATTGACCAGTTGATTCTTTGGGAATTATTTTGATACACAGAGTGTTTTGAAATCCACACTCTTAATATACATTTTTAAAATCTTTGTCAAAATGAAATAAAAAAGCTATATATTAGAGATTGAAAACAAATTCTCCATTGAGTAATAAACAAAAACGGTATGAAAATAACACATCGGCTGATAAGTTTCCGGTCTGACATACAGATGGCGTCCTAAAGCAGAATTAGTATTTTGCTTAGCAAGTCCTAACCTTCAAATAAAAGGTGTCAAAACTTTATAACGATCTATAGATTGATTTTAAAGTTATAGTGATTTTAATCGAACACCAATTTATATTATTGAAACAATGGATAAAAAGAATTTCGTGTTCTTATTAAACATTGTTATTTAATGAGAAAAAAAAACACGGTAGAAACTAAAGCTTGACTCGCATAAGTGTTATCCGGGTTCTTCACCAGGAAAATCGACCATTATTGACTGGTTTGCTGATTTTAATGTCGTCTTACAACTGTTGAAGATGCGCCACGCTCTGGACGCCTCAAAGATGTGGTTAATCCAGAAAACAAAATAAAAATCCACAAAATTGTTATAGAAAACCGCAAAGTGAAGTTGCCTGACATAGCTGATATTCCAAATATATCACAATAGCGTGTAGGCTTTATTTTGCACGAACATTTGTTTATGAGAAAGCTGTTTTCGAAGTGGTTACCGCGTGTGCTTAACAGTTGACCAAAATCGACAACGAATTGACGATTCCAAGAGCTGTTTGACGTTGTGTCAGTCACTCCCTATTCATCCGCACCCACCCTATTCACCAGATTTGGCTCCTAGTGACTTCTACTTGTTTTCAGACTTGAAAAAAAATGCTCGCGGGTAAGAGATTTAGCATGAATGAGGAAGTGATTGCCGAAACAAACGCCTATTTCGAGGCCAAAGATTAAAATCACTGTAACTTTAAAATCTATCTACAGATCGTTATAAAATTTTGACACCTTTTATTTGAGGGTTAGGACTTGCTAAGCAAAATATTAATTCTGCATTTAGGACGCCATCTGTATGTCAGACCGGAAACTTATCAGCCGATGTGTTATATTTAGTGAGAAGACGCGGAAATGAAAGCATCAAAGCAGTTTCATTGCTAAAAGAAACTTGGATGATTAAAAAAAAAAAAAAAAAAAAAAAAAAAAAAAANGAAAAAAAAAAAAAAAAAAAAAAGAACTCCTTTTAATTTCTAGTTTTCCCTCAGCCATAAAACATGTTTTGATTCATTTAGTCTTACTTACTTCACTAGCGATTTATTAGATTTCTGTATTGTTTTACACTTACTTGAGTTAGATTTATTTCCGCAAAATCTATGAATTTGATTGGTAGTAATATTAGAAAAAACCTTATTGGCTAAGTTAGAGTTAAAATCAATGTATTTTTTAATTGGAAAGTTAAAATCATTCTTTTGTCAAGAAGTTAAAATTATTATTTTTTTTTATTTTCATTAATATTGAGAGCTTAACAACTTAAAATTTGCTGAAAAATTATTTGTTTTATTAAGAATTAATTCATTTCAATAAATATGCTTTGCTAAAATATCGAAATCATTAAAATTAATAACTAATAGATCATCAATGAATCTGAGAAAGAAGGAACTAATTGGAAGATTAACGTATGATTTTACAAACCTATATTCTTGTTGAAAAAGAAAAATATTGCAGATGTTAGTACTAAAATTATTACCCATGGGAATATCATTAATTTGCTGAAAAAGGTGGTCATTAAAAAGTATAAAATTGTTGCTGAGGTAAATATGTACTACAAAATTCCAGTTACCTTCATTAATAATATAACTGAGATTAAACATGCTATAAATTTGAACAAGGTCATCATGAATTTTACTTGTTGGAAGGGAAGTATATAAAATTTCGAAATCAAAACAGTGAATTGGATGAACATTATTTAAAGTTTTTAGTGTATTTAAAACGTGAATACTATTTTTAATATTCCATTTTAAATGATTATTATTTTCAGAAAGCTTATTAATTTTGTTATAAACTTTTTTAGGAATGGTTTCAGGGTTTTGAATATAAATTATGCTGGCAGGGTTTTGAATATAAATTAAATGATATTTTTAGAATTTGAAATACTTTTCTTTATACAAAATAAAGGAAAGAAATGCGTTTGATAATTTTTTCAATAAAATTAATAACATTTTCAATTTTAATAATCATTAAAAATCACATTGAATGCCAAAAATTATGACTAGGGACATAAATGCACAGAACATGTATGGATATGTAATCAATAATAACAACATTGAAATGTTTGATATAATAACCTGTGTAAGTCAGCAATACTTCATGTTAAAGAATAAAAATTAAGGGAAAATTATTTTTCAATATAAACAAATAAACAGAGATTTTTCACCTAAAAAACTGCAATTCAGGTATAAATATATAAAATAAAGTCCTTCAGCAAATGTGAAGTCAAAGTGATAAAATAAAAAAAAATTATAAACCATCCGGTTGAAACTTAAGTTTAAACCACATAGGTTTAAACAAGACAACCCTGGCTTAAACTGCATAAAAATGAACAATATTAAAGAGTGCATATTACTACCGTATTAATACCAACTCCATTTGTGGGCTTCAAATTTCTACAACACGACAAGAAGATTGACCTAAAAGTTAAGTGTATTATTATTAATTAAGTATAAAAACTTTTGATGGGATGATGTTGAAAAAATTACGATTGCAACTCACTATTCAGATTTTTTTTAAATGTAAGTAATGTTCGATGATAATCGATTAAAGCAAGTTATAGCAGCTTTTTTCAATTTAGTGCCATCCCCTGAAATTTTAACTTCTTTTAAATTTGTAGATAAGAACGGTATCTCAAAGTGATGTAAAAGTAATGTTAGCACTGACTACAAAGTACAAGAACGAGATCACAACATGCCCACTTAATATGCTTGTGGTTTTTTTTAAAATCATGTAACGAATGCAAATGAATGCTATAGGGAAAATATGATAAGATAATTTCCTTTAAAAAACAATAAAGAAAGATTATTTTTAAAACGTAGTTACTGATTTGCCAATAGATATCTGCAATCAGGGCAAACAGTCAATAAAGGTGAACTTTATAACCACAAAGAGATTAAGGATGTCATCACGTTTAATAGAGCTGACTGAGAAAAGCTAAGTTTTTTATCAGTGGCGTTACCTCAAATGTATGGAATCATTGTCTGACTATCAGCAAATTGAATAAACTATTTCCGCCCATAAAATGTATTTTAATTTCTCACCTTAACTCAAGGTTTAATTTATTTCAACATTGAAAGAATAAAACAATTTTTTTTTCAATAGACGGAATATAATTTTTATATTTATTATGCAGAATTCTTCTCCCAGAGTTGTATTAATATCCATTCTATAACCTGGATTTTCAAAATTTTTTGTGTGCATTAATTTTCAATGATATCAATCATAGAATGGATAAAATTGTCCATAATCCCTATAAAGCAACAAAGATATATCGTTATTGTAACTGTGTAAATATTTTAGAATTTTATTGCCTGCATTAAAATTGTAACATTTATGACATTAAACATTTACATTTATGGCATTATTATTGTATTCTGTAATTAAAGTATAAAAGTATCAACTTTAAACTCGATTTCCATAAAAATATATTCTATAAAAAAGTTTTATAAGAAACAATTCTGTATCTTCTTTCAAGAATAAATTTAAAAACATTTATTTATTTCAGAAAATTTATATATTGAATTTAGAAAAATCTTACTTATATAAACTAAAAATTTCTGCACATAAATTTACCACAATTCCTATTTTAAAGTTTAACAAGCTAACTTTTGATTTCATAAAAAACATCTTCCCTCTAAACCTATTTAACTTACTATTATTGATTATTTAAAGTGGAATTAAAGAGCAATTAATTTTACTTTCTATGTTAGAATATTAATGTTTAGTGAATTGCAAGAGTGCAAGAGACAAAAAATATTAGCAATATACTCTCCGTTTAAAGATTTCCTTCAGTTTAAAAATTTATATCTATTTAAAACATTTACTAAATTAATAAAACTGCTAATTGTAATTAATATTTAACTAATTTTTTAAACAATGCACTCAACTGAAAGGGAAATAGTAATTATATTATACTGCAATATATATTTTTAATATGGTTAATTTCAATTATAACAAGCGTTCTATAAAGAACGTTTTTAATAGTTATTTTTTAAAATTTTGGTCAAAAATTGTCTAAAAAGGTGCGGATTAAAAATTAGTACTTAAACGTGGCAAAAAACATCTATCAGATTTTAACAGATCACTAGCGAGGGAAGCAGAAAGGAAAGGATTGAAACTTATTTTATTGCATTCACTGAAAGCATAAAAATCTGTTTAAAAGGATACAGAAAGGAGTTGAATAATGATTATTAGGATTATCTTTAAGTACTATCAGGTTTTGATGCATTTTCAACCTTCCTATTACTCTGCTGATTTCGATAACTATCTTCTTTCGTCATCACTTAAATATTTTAATATTTACCCCTTAATTGTGAGTACATTTTTTCACCTAGGATCTAAAAAAATTAACCTAAATGGTGGTTCATTTGGAACACCTTTTATACTTAGTTTATGCTTGTAAACTGCACTATCCTTCCAATCTCATCCCTTTCCTTAGAGTTTTGACATTTTCCATGGTTTAGTTTAGTTTTCCATACGTGTCATATTAATTGACATGAAAAATTCCACACTCCCTAACTCAAACTTGTAATCCTCGTGAGTAAATTTTACTGGTTTTATACATTAAATTTGTATTTGACTAGCAGTCAAAGTTTTACATAACTTAGATTTACTTAACTGAATATGGAACATATTGAACTTTTCTAAAATTAAACCACTCTTTTAAAGTTATATTTAACACATCTCCACAAATAGTTTTGTGTATTTCAATAGTTTAACGCATGTGTTGCCCACTGACTTATTTAATTTTATGAGTTCTCAATTGATAAAGATTGACATCTATGAACTTTTCAGCTTAGTAAATGATTTTTAATAAAGCATTTTTTAATAAGACATAATTTAAAATAAAATTTGGTTTAGAAAACATAATAAAATTGTAACCATCAATCTTAAAAAAAGGCGGATTTAAAATAATAATATTTCAAACGTAATCAAAATTTTATAATTCAGGTTAATTAACACTATTTTTACTATAACCATACCATTTATTATATATATATATATATTTATTATATGGAGAATTAAATTACAACTTTTATGGGTGAAAAGCAAGTTTTAATACTTTAAAGATTACTATTGAATTAAAATCAGACTTAAGAGCAATATATTGATACATTAAAAGAATTTGTATAAATGATTAAAGAAGGTAATTAGGGTAATCAGTTCATTCTATAAAAAGCACTATAATATTAAAAATATAAATGTTTCGAAAAAGGTAAATGGAAACATGCTTCATTATAGTCAATAGCATCAGGTTCTTGTCTCTCATAACTTTCTTCCTCCTCTTCTGAGTCAGTATCAAGTTGGGGTCCGATGTAATTTCCAAACTCATCATAGAGGTCAGCATCCATTGTTCAGTTTCTGGAAACAAACAAAAATAAATTAAATTAACTGTATAATATTTAAATAGTTAACAAAATTATCATAAAGGGTGTGGTTAATATAATGAGTGATTGGATCATTCTCTGTATTGAAACTGGATGCTCAATAAGATCCATATCATATAGTAATTTGTATCATAAATATGCACATAAAACCATTTGTTATCTGGAAAATTTTAAATACAAAAGGCATCAAAGCAAAATTTAAAAAAAAAAACAACAGCTTAAGATGGAATTTTCTTTTTCTTAAATACACAAAACGTGACTTGTCATGAAAAGAAAAAAGATGAAATGAAATAATAACAATTTTTAATAGCGCGTTGGAAACCATGTNTATATATATATATATACAATGGAAGAAAATACACTTTGTTAAATAAATGAAGTTTTTCTAAACAAACAAACATGTGTTTTAGTTTTCTTAAACATGCCAATCTTGATTTGACAATGTAATTAGATGTTATATACAAAAGATAGTTTAATAGATTTAATTCTAAATGATATATTAAGATTTTAAAATTTAATCTAGCGCTTAAACGGATAATAATTATTGTATTTTTAACTAAAAGTTTAATATGAATAAATAAGTTATATTTCCGAGTGCAATAATATAAATTTCTAATTAAATTACTCGATTGAAAATGGCTTAATTTTAAATTTATAAATAATATAAGAAAAGCCTAGAATTTGATTTCTGATATATATTTAAAAAAAAAGAAAAGAAATCTGAATAATGCTCGTCTGAAATAAGAAGTAAAATATGCCGTCATAATTATCATCGATGCTTTGACACACTTACCAAATATAACCTCTTTTATAAGGACTGAATCCACAAAAGTTTTCACATTCTGATAAAACACTTATTTTATTTAACTCAGAGTTTATGTTTTATAACACACGCAAATAATTAATTTATATTATGACTCTTTGATTTCGAAATTTTTGTTATCCACGCATCACATGACTGTATTGTTATCACGGATATGGAAAAACTGCGTAGTAACCAACAGTTACGATTAAATTCAGCCTTGGCTAAATTGTTCGGCCGAATGTTAACATTCTAAAATATAACTTTTACTAAACTCGATTTCATCGAAAGTAAAGAAGAAAAAAAAAACATTTTTTTTTAAATTTTCTGTTACGTTATATATTTATGTATTATGCAGCGAAAAAATATTTATTTCTACTAATTCCAACATTATTTACAAGCACATGCTTATCGAACACAAACTAACATAAGCTTATTTATAGCTATGGCATGAACATTATATTCAGATATAAATAATTTACATATTGTGAGAAGCTTGAGTTAAAATGATAGATGTTTGCTCACTGCTTATCTGTAAACATCCCAACAGACAACACAGGCTTAAATTTATATAATTCGAAATTAAAAAAATAAAACAGAGCAACTTAATAAGCACACAAGATACATACCAGTAAATTACATAGTTTAGTTCTTCGTTGCAATCTCGTCGTTTTGTAAATTCTGATTCAATACATGCAAGCTTTAGCTCTTAATGTTAGTCTGATTGCACAACGTTGACACGCGTCAAGGAAGGAATTTCCCTATTTTTCCGTTGGAAAAATTTATCCATATGTTTGATAAGGAAGGAAATGAGAAAAATCTCATTCATTGGTAAAGAAAAGCGTTGTAAAAAAAGTGATAATCTAATCAGCATTTCCAACTTCTCTTATGAAATCTTAGTGCAATAAAGTTTTAATGACCTTAATTAATTAATATTTTTTTTATAATGTTTTTTTCGATTATTAATATGAACGAATTAATTGACTTCAGCTTTGATCGTTTATTTTAAAACGATTAAAATAAGAAAATTGTTGCTCTTAAGAAATTAAAATTCAAAAAATATCTTTAAATTATATAACATTTTCACTACTAAAATGTAATTGCGTATGTGATCTAATAAAAACATTTAAAAATGTTTATTAGAACCTTAAAACATCTTTCGGCAAAATTTATTATCACTTTTAAAATTTTATATCTTTTCTTAAAAAAAAATTACAATTTACTTCTTATGTATCTCTCGCAATATATATATATATATATATATATATATGTGTTAGGAGTTATTTTTCAATTTTATGTTGCTTTTTTTGTATCTTTAATACCTAGGTTAACATAGAATCAACTCATTACATCAAACTGGCTGTAGTTAATTAATCTTTGCTTGCGTTTTAATCTGCTGATAAAGTACACATCAGATAATAATTTGTTTTAAATGCAAATAATTAAAGTGATTTGATATCTCCAGTTTATACACAAAAGCATTTCAAACGTCACTCATCACCTAACTCAAATCGATACTGCTTACCTAAAGCTGTGTATTACATAATTCGCACGTAATACATTTAGGAC